GCAGCTCAACCCCAGAGGGGAAAATTGGGGCTGTGGGTTGAAACCAGTGAGCTTACTGGGACTTGCTTCATCGGAGGCCTTTAGATCCAGCGTGAGCTTCTCTGCCCACTTTAGCTCCTCAGCAGAAACTCCCTCTTTGGCAGCTTGACATGTGGTCTTGTGATCGATGACCTTGGGAAAGTTGTTTCACGGTTGTGAGCGTTCCCTTCTTCAGCAGCAATCCCTACCCCCACACGTGGGAGTAGGGAGGAATCACTGAGACTGCATGTGGAGGTACAGAACACAGCACTCAGCGGAAAGTTAATGCCATCTTTCCTCTCCCCTCGTACTCCATACCCCCTCTTCTTCTCACCGGCCTTGGGGTGCCCACAGCACTTCACTTGTGCTTTTATGATAGCAGCAGCTCTGGCCTAGCACTTAGCAAGTGCTCAGTATTCAGTCAATGTTTGCTGAGTGAAGAGAGGAAGGCAGGCAGCCCGAGGACAGGTAATAAGTAGGCAGTAAATAATAAAGTAAGTTGGAGCATTCTCCTACCTTTGGAAATGAGCTACTGGCATCTTTCAGAGATGAGGGCTGAACAAACTCATGATTTTGTGTATAAAATATGGCTCTAGGTGTTGGTCAGAGTGGAGAGCTCAGCAGGCCCTTCTAGAAAGTGCTTTCCCCTTATTGACCATCTGTTTGGGCTCCAATGAACTGTTACGGTTATTTGCCTCCTGAGATGACGGTGTAGATCTGGAAAAAAGAGAGTGTGTATACAGTGGCACCTATTCCTGCCAGAGGATCAAGTTTAAGGGAGGTTTAAAGGAGTCTAAGTTGAAAAAGAAAGAAAGGAAGAAAGACCGGAGAAAACAAGTTTCATTAGCAGTGAGGGACCCAGTTGGCAGGCAAGGGCTGTCACTGCCACAATTATATTCTAATTATGTACCTGCTCTTGCAGCACACTGTGCTAGTTGCTAAGGCTGTAAAGTAGCAGGCATGGTTCTTGCCTTCCAGAGGCTTCTAACCTATGGAATGGAAATGGATGGAAGACTGAGCACTGTGGAGCACTTACTACCTGTTAACACTGGGACACATGTTTTAGGGTATATCTCAAGAAGTCAATATTGTTATTCTGCAAGGAAACTAAAATACAGAGAGGCTAAGAAACTTCTTGTAGGTCACCCAGCAAACACGCGGAACTGGGAGAAGAGCCCAGGTCTGTCTGGCTCTAGCGGGCTATGCTGCTCCCAGGACTGTGAGCAAGGACATCAGGGTAAGCCTGTAAAAAAGAGAATTCACTCTACAAGGTGTCCTAGGTTCAGCGCCACATGAGCAATAGATAATGATGTTTGCAGGGGTCTAGAAGAGATGTATTGAGGCCTCAAATAGAGGTGGCAACTTGGCAGAGGAATAGGCCCTCCAGTAGATGCTAAAGACAGAATATGAACCCAATAAGAGAAGAAGGGAGGGGGCGGCTTTCAAGGCGGAAGGCGGCAGAGCATGTGCAAAGGTGGAAGGTAGGAAAAAGTTCACCTTCTGGATTTGTGGAGTACTGGAGAGAGCACAGCCTGCTCCAAACTTAGTAATAGCCTTAGGCCAGCCACCTGATCTCCCTGAGCCTCAGTTTCCCTATCTGTATAATGGTTGTGAGAATAGCCACTTCATAGGATTGTTGAAGACCTGAGATTATGTATGTAAATCACCTCTTTCCTCAAAATCATCAGTCTAAGTTAGACCTTAATCTAAATCAGTTCCTTCTGTCATAGTATCTTATTTCCCTTTCTACTTGCCATTGAGTCAATTATATATCTGCATGCTATTTATTGAATGTTTGTTTCATGACTGTAAGTTCTGTGAGGATAGCGACAACATCTGTCCTCCTCAATACCATTTCTTTAGTGCCTAGAACAGTAGGCACTCAATAAACCTTCGTTAAATGAATGGATACATGAATGTATGAATGAATACATGAATTCCTAAGTAAATGAATAACTACATCTATTTCTGTGCTGTGACTCTAAGAATCTCAGGGAAAATTTGTCTTTCCTCTGGTGAGGGGGCGGGTTGCTAATGGAAGGAAAAGCCTTCAGAGAATGCCATTAGAGAGTCATAAGACCTCCACAAGTCATCAGAAGGAGCCCCAGGTCTCCTGTGTGTGACCTGGTGCTCTACATAACTGTCTCTGAGCAGGAAGGAAATTACACAAACTTCCGGTTCAGCTTGTTCCAGGGTTTCACAACCCATTTCTTTCTGTCTTGCTTAAATCCGTGGTGCTGCTTTTTCCATTATGACTTGTGATGTGCCTAGTGCACAATGACTCTCTGCAGGATCCCCATGTTGCTGGGCAATAATTCGGAGGGGTGTCTAGACTTTCCAATAATCAAGCCTTCTGATCCAGCGCAACACAATAACCCCTAATGCAGAGTTGGAGAGGAAGAAAGGGGATATAAGCAGATGCACTAATAATTACTAGGCATTTGATACATTCTATGAATTCCATGATAGAAGAATAAGGACAGGGACCTGAAGGATACAGAGAAGGATATCTGGCTTGGCCTGAGGTGAAGCAGTATACACACAGTTGGATAATATTTACAGCTTTTGAAATATGATTATGCATATCATCTCATCTTAGTCTCACTGCAGCCATGGAAAAGGGGGACATATGGATAACATTTGTATTGTTACTTGTTCCTCACACAGGGAAACTGAGGCAACTAGGGATAGATCTGGTTTCACCGGCAGATATAAACTCACTGCCCAGTCTCATAACTCTCAGTTTAGGGATCTTCTTTTGGGCCACACTGTCATGCACCACCCTTTACATTGGTCAACAGTGTGGGGGTGTCTGCAATGTCGCAATCCCCCACCTTCTGGAATGTAGTTCCAATGCACTTTTGTGATGGAACATCAATATCAAAAAAATCGGGGGCCACATTACCCCTTTGTCTGCTTTAGTAAATAAAATTTTTTTAAAACGTAGTCACACCCATACATTTACTCTCATCTATGGCTGTTTTTGCACTACGGAGGTAGAGTTGAGTGGTTGAAACAGAAAAGATATGACTCACAACATCTAAAATATTTAATATTTGATCCCATACAGAAAAAGTCTGCCACTCCCTAGAATAAATGAATGGAATGGAAGTAGATAGAAAAAAAATGGACTCATTCATTCCTAATAAGCAGTGGGTCATAACTGAAACTGAGAATGAGAATTGGTCTCAGAATCGAACCTCTGTCACTTGGCTGGATGACCTTGAACAAATTACTGATACTCTCTGGGCATCTATCACCTTACAGACTTGCTGTAGGATTTGTACCAGGTAAGGTGTATGTGTCAGTTATGATTAGGTTTGGCCCCATGTGACACAGAATGAAGGGTCTTGCATAAGACAGCAGCTTATTTCTTTCATGTGGAAGTGAGCAGTGGGTGTTGGTCTGGTGGGGCATGGTGTCAGCAACCCCAGCCTTCTCACCCTGTAGCTTTGCTGTGCATGGCTTTTATTCCTGAGGTTCTCTCATGGTCCAAAATAGCTATTGGAGCTCTAGCCACAGTGCCATGATTGCTATTACTACTAATGAGTGTATGATGATAAGAGGAAACAAACCAAAAATCAAATACAAGAAGCCCAGAAACAGAGCCATACAAAAAGTCTGGACAACAAATCCACATTAATTCAAGTCTAGCCAAAATGAGACCTCCTGCCATAGCTCAGGAGGCAACAAGTGTGTTTTGTGTATTCTATTCCCAGGGTACACTGAGGAAGATCTAGAAGCCATGTGGTCCATGTATTCAGCATCTAACACTTTACAAAGTATTTCCATTACTATTATTTTATTTGCTTTTCACAGTACTCTAGAAAGGTTAAGATGAACAGGTCTTAATATTATTATTCCTATTGTATCCTGTAATTCAACCAGGTGTTAAGTAATCAGATCCCAGTACCTCCTATCTTCCCAAAGAGTCCGTGGTTAGATCTTTGGATATTTGTTGGAAATGAAAGGGGAGCAGCTCTAGTGTAGAAGAAAGAAAATGACCCCCAAACAGGACCCCTAGCAGATGTAGCTAATCACATGGCCTCACCCTCACTGAGTCAGTATCCTCACCTAAATGACAAAGATAAGAGCATCTATTGATTTGGGGGGTTGTTGACTGTAATGAACATGGCAAATAGGCCAGTTCAGTGAGATCACTGCTATTACCTAGGCTTACCTCTTACATTTGCTGTGTCCTTGGAAACTCACTTCCCTTTACTGGGCCTCAGTTTACTTTCCTAGGAAAGCAAAGGGTTTGGATTCAGCGACTTGCTAAACTATCTTCCAAATCTCCAGTCCCATCAGCCTGGGAACCTGCCTTTTCAAGGGAAAACAGCTCAGATTGGAGCCCAGGTCGGAACTCTCCCTCTGGTTCCCTAGTAGCTCGCTGTGTGTTTCAGAACAAGCTAAAAACGCTTCTGACTTCGCATCTGTAAATAGGGACAGATTACTATGTAGTTTACAGGAAAGGCAAGCATCACGAGGATTAAATGAGGTGGGTGTGTCCACGGCTCACAGATTGTAACTTGGGCAAAGCAGGACCTATCTGCTCTGTAGATTTGAAGACTGTGACACCACTTCAGAGGGCTGGCCACAGGATTAGACAGATAAATTCATGTAAAGTATCAGAAACAAGACCTGGCACAAAGTAAGCATTCGGTAATTATTGTTATTATTATTATTATTAATTTCATCCGCCTACAACAGTCCTGGCATTCAGTAAATGGTCGAGAAGTGGTTTTAGGGGACACACTCGACACACACACGCAACAGAGGCTGCAGAGAGTTTGCGTGGGTCAGCTCTGTGCCTTTAAAAGTCCAAGAGGTGGGAGGAGCCGCGGGAAGGCTGCTGTCCACGCCCCCAGGCAGCCGAGCCCGGTCGCAGGCGACGGGGGCGGGCGCGCGGGCCAATCTCCGGAGCGGTTCAAAGGGCCAATCAGGGCGCGTTTTACAGGGGCTGCGTCCGGCGGGGGCGGGGCCGGGGGCGGGGCGCAGCCGCAGCAGCCCCCGGGGACCGCCCTACACTGTGCGGTGCACCTCGGTGCGGCAACCTGCAGAGCCCCGCTAGCTAAAATGTAATTTCAGATTGGACAAGTAAGTGACCCTCCTCCCAGTCCCACGTGTGCAGCAGGGGCTTTTGCAGGCGCGGAAGCTCGTAGCGCCCACGTTCTCCAACCCGAGAGCGCACGCGGCCCAAGCCTCCCTCCCCTTTCCTGCAGTCGCCGCCTCTTCCTCTTCGTCGTCCTACTCTGGTCGCTAAAGTCTCGTGCCAGGCCAGAGTCGGACCCCGGGACGATGTAGAGTTCCCTGTGTCCTCTCCTGGGTGAGGCGTCCGGCCACTCAACGGAAGGGTCGGCCTTTACTGCATCCCCAAGGCTTCCTGTGAGATGTCGGGAGCCCGGGGTCCTCTGCCATCCCTGACCGGTTAACTGTGTTCACTCCAGCTTCCCGTCCCTCCATCCTTTCCCCTGGACCCTTACTTTAGGGTATTTTTCCCAGGCCGTTTTGAGCTTTTAATAAAAATCTGGCTACCTAAGAGATTTTTAAAGGCCAGTGCTGCTTGTAACTTTAAACGCTTTCAGCAGCTTGTGATAATGTTTGAGGTGCATTTAGTTTAGATGGTATAATGCTGTTTGGTTACAGTTATCCTGGGTAGGAAAGGCCTAGGGTTATCTTTCCATTTTAATTCACTTCCCTTCTTTTAAGGATGGACAAGATGCAAAATGGTGAATTCCCTAATCATTGGCTATTTTCCACTAAAGCACTTCTCCTGTCTTAACTAATTTCATCCCTAAATTAAAGGGTCAGTCATTACCAAGATACGGAAGAGCATTAGGTTAATTTTTAAAATAGGAGATCTGGAGGGAGGAAGTGATTACACTTTTGAATTGCAAATCAGAAAGAAGGCATGTCTTCTCTAAGTTTGTGGCTGTTACACAGATGGTACAGTTTTGCTTTGTTTTGCTTGCTTTTCTCCTTTTTTTAACAATCCACCAAATGTATATCCTGATTTTTTTTTTCTTTTTACTTTTTATGTTGCCAGCTGGGTCTTGCAGCCTTCTGACCGCCTCCTGGTCTTCTGGGAGTCTCCTGTTAATGAGGCCCTCTGCCTGGCTCTTGATCTGATGATCACTGGCCTGGCTCTTGGAGGGATCAGCTGAGGAGGACCTGCATGTGGGCGGCCCAGAGGACTGTTGATTAAGGATGATGGGGGAACAGACCAGAGAGGGTGAGAAGGGCCTGGAGATTGATTTTGAGGGGAAGGGAGCTTGGGAGCCTCCCTTGCTGGATTTGAAAATCAAAACATGTGTATTGGGAGAAGGGAACAACCCTGAGGGTGGAGGTCTGTGTCTTTCTGGATGAAATTAAGAAGTTTACTAGGGGGAGACTGGGCCTTCTTCCAGGCTGTGTTAATTTTTGCTGTGGGCCTTGTCTTTTCCTGGAATCTGGTTCCCTTTCCCTAACCTTTCACTTAGTTCAAATCACAGTCAATTACCAGCTGTATTTGAAAACAGTTTGAAGTAATGAATCTTGCCCAGCCAGAGTGGGGACCCCTGGCCTGCTGCCAGGGGATTTGAAATAATTATTTTACCAGAATGTACTACAGAGATCATTTAGCCTCACCTGCCCATCTCTTTATGAGAAGAAATACAGGATCAACCCAGGTGGTGGTGTAAGGGGTCATCCAAACCAGGTCTTTCGTTCATTCATTTGTTCACTAACTTGTGGCACGTATTCTGGACTTGGTACTGTGGTAGGCTCTGGGAAAGTAAAGATGAACAAGACTTGGTCTCCACTTTTAGTCTTTCACTCAAGTCTGCTTCTGTCTAGTCTGACGAGAGAGCTTATACAATACCAAGATGAGTGCTGTGGCAAGGTATGTGGGAAATTCTCAGGAATTGGGAGAAGGGCAAATGGCCCAATGTGGGGTTTTGTGTACTTCTCAGAGGAGATAATACCCTGAGCAGAATTTCACAGCCTCAGTATGAGTGGGCTGGGGAATGACAAAAGGGAAGGGGATTATTTGACTTGTGAACAGCATGTGCAAAACTATATAACCTGGCACATTGTTGACTAGTGTGGCTGGACAGGATAGGGTGAGATGGGAAATCACCAGAAAGGAAGCTGGGGAAGGTGGAAAGGCCAGACCAGGGAGCATCAGGTGAGTCATAGGTAAGGGAGTTTGAAATCTCCAGAGCAATCAGGAGCTGTCTGAAGTGACATGGATTTGTGTTTTAGAAAGTTAATTCTGGCCGCAGGGTGGAGAGGGAATTGGCGAGGTGAAGACTGGAGAGAGGCTTTTATAATACGGGTGAGAGATGGGTTAGGGTAATAGTTCTGGAACTGGAGGGAGATGAGAATACAGTTGACCCTAGAATACGGGTTTGAATGCAGGTCCACTTATATATGGATTTTTTTTACAGAATTGGTTTATTCCTTAAATGTTTGATGGAATTCACCTATGAAGTCATCTAGGCCAGGAGTTTATTTTTATTTTTTTGTGACGAGGGAGTACTCAATTGATTTAATAATATAAGACTATTCAGATCATCTGTTTCTTCTTGAGTGAGGTTTGATAGTTCCTGTATGTTGAGGAATTTGTACATACCTAAACTGCTCATAATCCCTCATTATCATTTTAATATCTATAGAATCTGTTGTGATTTCATCTCCCTCATTCCTAATATAGATAACCCTAATATTGTTATCTTTTCTCTTTATTTTCCCATTCTACCCAGAAATTTATTTTATTGGACTTCTCAAAAAAACTTTTGGTTTTATTTATTTTCTATATTTTTTAACTTACTGATTTCTCTGAAATTTATTATTTCCTTTCTTTTGCTAACTTTGGGTTCCTTTTACTCTTTTTTTTTTTTTTTTAAGATTTTATTTATATATTTGACAGAGAGAGACACAGCAAGAGAGGGAACACAAGCAGGGGGAGTAGGAGAGGGAGAAGCAGGCTTCCCGCTGAGCCAGGAGCCTGATGTGGGGCTCGATCCCAGGACCCTGGGATCATGACCTGAGCCGAAGGCAGATGCTCAACAACTGAGCCACGCAGGCGCCCCTCCTTTTACTCTTCTCTTTCTAATTTCTTAAGGTGGACAATTAAGATTATTTATTTGAGATGACTTTTCTAATAGGCATTTGATGCTATAAATTTATTGCTTCAAGTGCATCCTACAACTTCTGCTATATGTTTATTTTCATTCAGTTAAAATACTTTCTATTTTTTTTAAATGTCTTCTTTGATCCATGTGTTAGGTAGAAGTGTGTTATTCAGTTTCAAATATTTGAGGACTTTGCACTCATCTTTTTATTATTGATTTATAATTTAATTCTGTTGTGGTCACAGAAGTTACTTTGGTATGATTTGAATCCTTTTATCTTCTTGAGACTTGTTTTATGGCCCAGAATGTGGTCTGTCTTGGTAAATGTTTGATGTGTACTTGAAAAGAATGTATGTTCTGCTCTTGTTGGGTAGAGTGCTTTTTACATATCAATTATGTCAACTTTATTGACTACCGTACATTACATCCTTGCTGATTTTGTGTTGACTTACTGTATCAGTTATTGAGAGAATGGTATTAGAATCTCTAAGGATAATTGTGGATATACGCATTTCTCTTTGCAGTTCTAACAGATTTTGCTTTATGTATTCTGATGCACTGTTATTAGGTGTGTTAATATTTAGGATTGTTAGGTTATCTTGGTGAATCATCCCCTTTATTATTTCTTAATTTCTGATAATATTCTTCGCTCTGAAATCTACTTAGTCATTATACCTGGTACTATTCTTGCTCTGAAATCTACTTAGTATGATAATGATTTAGTTTCTTTTGAATGCTGTTTAATGGCATACCTTTTTTGTCTTTTTACTTTAACCTATGTGTTTCTTATGTTTAAAGTGGGTTTCATGTGGGCATCATATAGTTAGACTGGGTATCTAACTAAGGCCTGATAATCTCTCTGTTTTAACTGGGGGTATTTAGACTATATTTAATAAATTTAATATAATTATTCATATGGTTTGTTTTAAGTACACCATCTAGCTTTTTTTTCTTTTCTTTTTTTTTTTTTTAAAGATTTTATTTATTTATTTGAGACAGAGAGAAATGAGAGAGAGAGAGCACATGAGAGGGGGGAGGGTCAGAGGGAGAAGCAGGCTCCCTGCCGAGCAGGGAGCCCGATGTGGGACTCGATCCCGGGACTCCAGGATCATGACCCGAGCCGAAGGCAGTCGCCTAACCGACTGAGCCACCCAGGCGCCCCTTTTTTTTCTTTTCTATTTGTTCCATCTGTTCTTTGTTCTTTTTATTCTCTTTTTCTGCCTTTTTTTGGATTAGTTTTTTCATAATTTCATTTTTTCCTCCTTTATTGGCTTATTAGGCATAACTGTTTCTTTTGGTATTATTTTAATGGTTGCTTTAGGGTTTATGGTATACATCTTTAATTTATTAGAGTCAACTTTCAAGTGGGATTATACCACTTAACATATAATATAGGAACCCTATAACAGTATGTTTATAATTCTTGCCTCCTAGCCTTTGTGCTACTGTTGTTTTATGTTGTACGTTTTACTTATACATAAGTTTAAGTAAAGTTTAAGTGGTTATTATTTTAGTTTTAAGAAGTCAGTTATCTTTTTAAGACATTCAAGTAATTTTTAATTTATGTACCCACATAGTTACCCTTGTGCTGCTCATTCCATTTTATAGATCTAGATTTCCATGTGCTGTCATTTTCCCCTCCGCCTCTTGTGGTGCAGTTCTGCTGGCGATGCATTTTTTTCATCTTTTCTTTGTCTGAATTAGTTTTTATTAAAGCTTCAGTTTTGAAAGTTTTTTTTCACAAGGTACAGAATTTTAGGTACGAAGTTTTTTCTTTCAGTATTTCAAAAATCTTACTCTACTGTCTCATAGTTTACATTATTATTTCTAATGGGAAATAAAAATGTCTGTTGTCCTTCCCATATTTTTCTTTCTTTTGTGCATATTGTCACCTCCTCTCCCCCTAAGTTACTTTTAAGATTTTCTTTATCATTGGTTTTGAGCAGTTTGAATCTGATGTTTCTTGGGTTAGTTTTCTTCATATTTCTTGTGCTTGGGGTTCATTGATATTCTTGAATCTGTGGGTTTATAGTTTTCATCAAATTTGGAAGATTTGTGCCCATTATATTTTCAAATATTGCTCCTGACCCCTTCTTTGTTCTTTCTTTCAGGGATTCTCATTTCACATATATTATGCTACTTGAAGTTTTTCCACAGCTCACTCATGCTATGTTTATTTTTTAAAAATCTTTTTTCTCTCTTTGTTAGTGGATAGTGTCTGTTACTGTTTTTTAAAGGTCACTAATCCTTTCTTCTGTATTGTCCAATCCTATACAGTCAGTTTTTCATTGCAGACATCTTAGTTGTCATTTTTAGCATTTCAGCCTGAGTCTTTTTTATCTTCCATGTCTGGACTTTCAAGTTCAGTCTCTTCTCTAGCTTTCTGAACATATGAAATACAGGTATCATAGCTGTTTTAATATCTGTGTCTACTAATTCTATCAAATGTGTCAATTCTAGATCAGTGCCCATTGATTTTTCTCATTTTGGATAGTCTTTTCCTGCATCTTTGTGTGCCTGGTAAATTTTGATTGAATAGCAGACATTGTGTATTTTATCTTGTTGGTGCTAGATATTTTTGTAATTTTATAAATACACTTGAACTTTGTTCTGGGGCATGTGTGAGGTATTAGGAAACCATTGGATTCTCTTGAGTCTTGCTTTCAGCTTTGTTATGTGGGACCAGGGCTCATTCTTCTTCACTGCTGAGGTAAAACCCTTCTGTGTACTGTACCTAGTGCCCTATCAATGACAAGGTTTTCCACTCAGGCTGGTGTGAACAGGCACTATTCATGGCGCTGTGTGAAGTCCCCTGATTGTTCACTCTGGGAGCTTCTGGCTCAGATGGTTTCCTCACATGCATACAGTGGTTGGTACTTTACTGAATACTTGAGGAGGGGAATTCTCCCTCTGTGCAACTCTCTCCTTTCTTGTACTATGCCCCAAGAAATCTAACCTCCTGTTTTCCGCAAACTCTTGACTCTGTCTCCTCCACTCAGGGAGACTGCAGGGCTTGGCCTGATTTCTGCTTCCTGTGCCATGGTGCCACGCATTAAGCTTGAGCCAATTCAGGACACTTCTTTTTTCCCCCACCTTGCTGGGATCGCTGTACTTTGTT